ATCGCAGTCAGGGTATGTTTCTGTTGGTTCAACAGAAACATACCCTGACTGCGATGCTCGGCCGATGTGTCATATAGTCCCCAGATCCAGATCCGCAATGACGCTGGCTGCGATGTCACCAGAGCCAAGCTCAAACCAAAACACGTCCCAGCAGTCAAGGGCTGCGTAGGCAGTTGCTGCGGTTGGAGATTGGACTTCAGGAGTGGGTTGGAGGAAACAGAAAAGGCTCACAGCTAAAAGTGCGGCGTGTGGCTTTCTTTTCGGCGCCTGGTTCAAGGGCAGGTCTCTCGACCGACGCTGACCCTGGGCAAGGCCCAAGCATCACCAGCTGCAAGACATTGCTAGATCAGACATGTGTAAACGCAAGTAAGCTGTGCAGTCTGTGTAGCCAACGTGTGCTTGTAGCGGGTGTTCTTCTAAAGAGCACACGACGTCTCACAGGAGTTCAAGCAAGGCGCATTCGCTGCATGGGTAGTGCAGCAGCAGTTGCCACCATGCTCCAGCCAGCCGTCAAGCTGACATGAAACTTCGCTGCTCCTCCCACGGTGCCTACGCTGTACAGGATTTTCTGTGTATGGTTGAGCCGACTCAGACTATGCGGGAAGATTCTTGAAGTTGGGCACTCACGCATATCCTGAATTCTAAGCCAGACCGCGGTTCAGACACTCGGCCCTTAAAATCATGAGCTGTCGATCGGATGCTCCACTCGCATTTGTTGCCGAAGCTGTGTTGAGATGAGGTCAACTTACCTTGGCAGCATTGGTGCTCGACCCGAAATCCTGAACCCGAAAGTGCAATCCTTATATGAGGTCCCTGCCAGGCTGCGGTCGCTGCAGTGGAGGCTCCAGGAATCACATTGCATCAATCCGCCGAGTGCCTCTGAGCCTACTAAACGATCCTTGCTTCATCCTTCCCAGCACGAGCTCGCGAGAACATTTGGGAGTTCAAGTCATTCTAGTCATCATTGTTTTTCGTCTACTGTGGATGTTCTTGCAGAGTTTTTCCCTGGGGAGCGTTTCGTGCAGGTGTTTGTCGCCTTGCGATTTGCAGGGGTGCCTAGTCTCAGAGTCTCAGAACCTCCAGAGATCATTGCAGGGCTCCTGCCGTCCGCATGTCGTGAATCCATCTGAAATTTTACAGTAAGGATTTCTTCCAAACAATTGTACGTTTCGTGGGTCTGGATCTCACGCAAGGCTCCCAAATCTAAAAACCCAGCAGACCCAGTAGGACGAGGGTGTTAAAGATGTCGATTTTAAAGCCTGTTTACAGGGCCTGTTTACCTAGTCTAATCACCCACAAAGAGAAATCATAGACAAAGCGTAGATGTCCGGAGTTATTGCATCGCTTTTGCCTGTGTGGACGTTGAGTGAGTTCAGTTAGAGGCATGTAGAATTACGTCGAAACGGTGGTCCTCGAAGGGACCGTTGTGGACCACCGTTTCGTGCTTTTCTCGTCGCTTCGTCTCGCGGCTTCAAGGGTCTGTGCCGGGCTTGAGATGCAACCGCACCTGCAGGAGCCAAGCTGCCGCCTGGGCTTCGCCTTGCACCCCTACCGCGCCAGGCCTTCACATTGCCAAGACCGTGAAGGGAAGTGCGAAGAGCGAGATACCGGGTCGGACATTGTCTACCCCATGTCCCCGAATTTGCGTAGGACGACAAAATTTAATTGCCTCCCGTACCTTATTGATAGAGCCTGTGCCGCACATCCTGCCACTCAGGTGAGTAGCTGAGTCAAAGATACTCAGAGGGTGTATGTCCACCATAAGCGCCGCGCTTCCTGTTTGATCGTTTTTTGTGTCCATCTTCCTGAGCTAGCAGGGTGAACAAGTCACACGAGTTTTGTACCTGCCAGCCATGTAACAAACCCAGCGAGCAAAGCTCATGCGATGGCTGGATCTATTATATTATACTGCTAAAGCATAAACGGACCGGAGTGAAGACAATGGTCCAAATGGCACAACTGAAGAGAGCTCGACATGCAATGTGCACAACCAGACTCGCAAGACACATGAAGACAGCATGAGTGGAAACAGCAGCAGATGTCCTGCGTTGTCAATATCATGTGCTTTGCAACCGTGCCCAGAACTGCCGGTTGCTGCAGGCCCATGCTCTGCAGATGCGGGGGGAGTGCTGTTGGCCCTTTGACCTAAAGTGGGCTAGAATCTGCATCGGCCGAGACCGTGACCCTCGAAACTTGTTGCAAGGATGGCGCATAGCGCCGAATAACGCTCCAAGACTGTGCTTTATCCGACACACAAAACCTCTTGAATCGAAGGCGCCAACTGAGTGCAAGCATTGCCTTGACAATGAGCTGACCAAGCTTCACGTTTTAGGCGCCTGCAAGCCTTGCTTCTACAGCTTGTGCATAAACCAGGCACTAGGACACTAGAACAGGCCCAGTGAGTATGTGCTACCTGCAATCATCCCCACGGCTTACGCTTACGCTTAGTGAAGACCGAAGATTAGGTGCTTAAGCTGTCCTTCGCGACTTCGCGATCCGTGGTAGGCTACCGAGGAAGCGCTGGGAGAAATTCGGGCTGCGTCTGCAAGCAGCGGCCTTCGCGTGCTGGAGCTCGGTGTCGGCCGGGCATTGCAGGGCCGATCCGTACGTGTTGTGCATGTATGGATGTGTCTATCTACATATATCTATATATATCTATATCTATATCTATATATATATATATATATTCGCACAAGGATGGAAGGATGCGTGGATGGGGGGATGCTTGGGTATGTGTGTACGTGAGTAATTAAGTATGTATGTACGTATGTGATATAAACAGACAGGAAAGTGGGCAGATAGATGGATGGATAGATAGACAGGTAGGTAGATAGATAGATAGATAGATAGACGGACAGACAGACAGACAGACAGACAGACAGACAGACAGACAGACAGACAGACAGACAGCTGGCAAAATAGATCGGCCGGTGAAAAGACAAATGGTAAGATGGGTTCGCAGATAGACAGATGAACGGGTGCCGAGGTGCGCATTGACAATGCACTTATATTGTGCCCTTGCCTGTGCTGAAGACTTCGGGTCGAGAGCCGCTGACGGCACATGTTGGGAGCATAGGATGCATCTAGCTCGGCGTACAGAGAAGAAAGAGTGTGCCACCAGCCCAGAAAACTCTTGGGATCAACTTTTGCATTGCAGGCTTCGGGTCACTTCGTGCGCTGCTGAAATTGCGACGCCACCATGTAACTCGGGCCCGCAAAGCCAGGGCCCTGGCCTGGTACTGTGATAACTGCGCTCCTCTCTTGCTGCAGGGGGCAGAGATCAAAGCAAAGAGTGATCACACGTTAAATGCGAAGGGATCAGTTTACAGACAGAAAAAGATCATGGCAAAATCGGAGCTAAGTCAAGGGCATTTGGCTTCTCAGCTTCTGAGCCGTGTTTTGGCCTTTGGGCCCCTTAGCTTTGTGCTTCTGGCGTTCTTGCTCTCCGGCTTCCTGGCTTTTGTCTTCTGGGGTTCTCGGGCTTTGTTGGCTCTGGCTTCTGCCTTACGGGCTTTTTGGCTTTGTGGCTTGGGTTCTCCGGCTTTGCGCTGTTGGCTGCTTTGTGGCTGTTGGCTTCTGGGCTTGTGCCTCACGAAATTGCCTTTCCCCAGGGGCTTGCCGCAACACTAGTCGCAATACAATGGAGATTAACTATAGCTTAATTACCAGAAACACAGCCTTAGGGGCCAACATGCTGCAACACATATGATTTGAATCTTTTGCTTGGTGCATTGCCGTTTTTTGGGCTATCCCACGCCGGAAACAAGAGTGGACGCCACCGCTTTAAGACATTGGGACGGTGCCGCGTGCTAATCCCGTGAGAGCCTTGGTGGGACTGGTTGTTTTATTTCATCCTTTCTTTTGAATTCGGTGCGTTTTTCTTGATAAGTTGTTGATGTTTGATCCGGCAGCCGTGTGCTGCAGCGCTGCAGGTTTGGAAATCCTGGACGCAGCAAAGATTTGGAGCCGAAGTTCGCTTGCTTGCAGAGCTGCTGAGCTCAAAGAAATATGTTCGGCCTCCTTTTGCAAAGCGCGCCCCATTCAGTACTCGAGAAAAACTCGTCGTCAGGTTTCCAGCGTGTCACAAGCTGATTACGATGGCGTCCAGCCTCATGGGCGTGCCACATGGCCAGCATCCATTCTTGACATTGATAAACTGGAGCAGCTTCGGATGCATCCACGCCCATCAGTGGGCTAAGGCTTTGACCGTTAGCAGGCCTGGCACGGACTCCCTGTCCTTCATGAGTCAGTCATTCACTATGGCGTGCATCAAAAGCCAGTTCACGCGCAGAATGACTGCAGTACTATAATCATTTCCAGGACCAAAGCCAGACATACGCAGGACGGCGGGGTGCACTCAGGACCACAGGACCAAAGCAGATACCCGATACCCGAAAGAAGTCGGAGATATGCGACCAGCCTCACAGATCCCGAGTCCTCAACTGGGAGATGGCGTCCGAGGTCGGAACCACCGGGCGAGCTCAATGTCATCCTCAGAACCTACGAGCCAGGCAAGCAACAACGCGGCGTAGACTAGCGTATTTTTTCTGCACCCTTCGAAAGCCCTGCTCCTCTGAGCATCGTGGGTAGTGACGAGGTGATTGGCTTGGACGGCACGTGGACGATGCGTCAGGGCTGCAATTAGCCGTACATCTTCTATGTCATCTTGCAGAAGTGCAACTGGTGTCCCGTGAGAGCTGTTCTGAGTGTGCCAGATAATGGCAGGAGCAGTCAAGGTCCGCATGTTTGCAGAGCCCGTTCTTGCGGCGATCTTGCAGCCAGGAGGCGTCAGGCCAGGTGCAGTGACATGTCAATGCTCTCTTATGGGCTCTGGTACTTATCCCTGAGTCTTTACAGACACGTTCGAAATACATCGCCATGGCAGTTCTGCCTATCAGGGATGGTCTCCGCCTCACCTTGCCCCGAGACCCGGTGGCTCTCTCTGCAGCCCTTCGCGAAGCAGAGGAGCCACAGATGATCGCAAGTGAATTTCGGGGCCTTGTCAAGCCTAGCTTGCGAAATATGGTTTGCAACATGGGCCTTCAACGTGCATGTCGGATAGGCTCAAGCGGCCAACGAATGACCTCGAAAGGGTTCGTGCAGACAAAACCAGTTTACTATTGGTTTCTCCTTTTTGTATGCTCCCACACTGTTTCGTCAAATGCCATGCCAAGACTGCACTTGCTGCTTGACTCCTTTGCTCGCACGGAGACTCCTGGTGCGCAGGTGTGGTGTGAAACAGTCTTGACTGCAAAGGACGCTCATGGAGCCTCTCTTCGTCTTCACGATGTCGCAGGGTGCTCTAGCCTAAGTGTGGTGCAGCTTCCTGGATATTGTGAGAGGGTGCTGCTGGAGCCGGTTATTACTGTTCATGTCGGCACTGAACCTCGCGGATCTTAATGAAGCTGAACTTCAGCCCGCTCGTGCCGCTGCTACTGGGGGGTTGTGTTAAGTCGTACCGCCCTGTGTTGTAGCTAGCAGGAGACGTCAGACTTGACACACCGTTGCAGCTGCAGCCAGAGAGCCAAGAGGTCTTGATTTTGAAAGCACACTTTTTCTTTGCTCAAGCGCTGCAGAGTGATCTTCAGAGCCCTAGCCTCACAGTTTTGGCGATTGTCGGGAAGAAAATCCCGAAGCACCATGCAACCAGCCCGCACTTAATGAATGGAGTTCACGATGCAGCACAGCCGTATAGCAGATTGCCGCTCGGTTGCTTTCCATGAGCTGCGTTCAGGATGAGGATACAAACAGCAGCCACGCAAATGGCTGTGAGATCGCTGAAACTTAGAGACTTGGATCAAACATGTCGGGCTTCCGGGCTTCGATGTGCTTAGCCTTTCTGGGGCCAATGAGGCCGCATGGGCTGCATACGAGTCCTGATGCCAAATCTTGAATCAAGGATGCTTCGACTCTGGCGCCGCCTTGGTCAGCAGCAAGGCAAGGGTCCTGGCTCAACTCTTACACTACAGCACATCACTCCATGGCACAACTGCTGCAGAAACGGAAGTGTCGCTCTCAACTTGCAAGGCTTCTCGTGCTTTGGCTGCGGGCGCCGGCGCTGGCGCCGTGGGTCTGGCACTGTGCGTGCCCCCCGCTCGTGCAGATGGGGCGTCCGCAGACGTGCCGGCATTTACCATGGAAGCCCCGAAGTTCGATCAGCGGCATGGCTAAAGTTAGAGCAGGAGGCACAACATGGCACAACGGCCCCCAAGCCGAGTGCACGAGAGTAACAGAGTACTAGTAGCATAAAAGAACCAGACGCGTGACTGGTCGGCATGACGCACAAGTGAGAGATAAAACAGAGACAGCATGTGACATGCATGGACATGAGGTCCACCTTCTATGGTCGACTGCAACTTCGATGCGAACAAATTACTCATTTGTTGAGAGTACCCCATCTCCACCTCTTGTTTTTCCCTTCCCTTTGCGTGCGGGAGTGGTCTTAGTCTCAAACGACACAAGGATGGGCATGTATGACTACATTGACCCTCGGACGCTTCTCTTGACCAGCGACGACCTGAAAAAGTCACAGGCCCATTTCCGAGCATGCTTGGGTTTATGAGACACGCGCTGCGGGAGGAGCTTCTGCAGAAGTACAAGGAAGCAGGAAAGAAGCCGAAAGGCTTGCACACTGTTGCAGGCAAAAGATAGCATGAGCTTCCTGGCTTGTTCTTGTCTGTGCAGGTGTGTCGGATGCGGATATGTGGCAGGCAAGGAAAAATGTGGAGGAACCTCGACCAAAAAACCGCTTCCGCTTGTGCCACTCGTGTTTGTGATGGGCCTGTGATGGGTATGTATATATGCGCGATGGCAAACTTGTACAGTAAGGTCAGCATTCACCCAGTCACGGGCGAGGAGTTGTTGAAGGTCGGACGAATGCCCCTTGAATGCGCTGGGTTCTCAGCAGCGCGAGTTCTCCAAGAGAAGATTCTTCCAGGTCTGCTTTTGTCCCGATGAACGTGCCGCTCTGCGCGTTCATGCTGATGGCATCTTCAACCCCACAAATTCTTGCTGCCCAGTGGCCGGTACCTCATCATCCTGTCTGGAAGCCTGTGATACACGATGCCACGTCCAGCAGTTTAGAGCTGGATCAAGGCTCAACCAGACGTACAACGCTCTCAACAACTACGTCAACAGGTCAGGTGCAACTGCTCCTTTGCCTCGGGAACAGAGAGAAGCACGTACTGACTAGGCGCTACAGAACTCTGCTGTGCCGACGAAGATTGTAGACCGTAGACCGGGCAAGACAGATGGCATGAAACGTTCCCGTTCCCGTGTGGACCTAGCATGGAGCTGCGAGGCTTTTGACAGATCCTGACAGCATACCACGTTTTATAGCATGTATGCATATTTGCATAATCGTTCTCGTATCTGTATAAGACCCTTTTTTAGCCTTGGTGTACTTGGTTTTGCTCAGAGTCTCTCAGGTGGAGTGGTCCGCGCTGCTGCAAAGCTATGGCCTGGCTGTGACTGCATCTTGCTCGATCGCCTTGGGCGCAAGACTGCGGGGTTCACCAGGGAAGGTAGCAGGTCGCACAAGGTGAGGCAAGAGGAGGTCAGGTGGTCAGATGGAGTAAATCGCAGTGGCAGCAGTCCCCCTCGATCACCAGGACGATTGATGAGCGCGGTGCCCTCTTTGCAGGTTATGGGCCCTTTCGAGCCTTGGCTACGGCACGAGAGCTAAGAGCAAGCCGGGACCGACTGCAGAGCAATGAGATGCCTGGTCGACCCTGCTAGATGGCCAAAGAGGCTCGTTTGGAGTAATAGTGGTGCTACCATGTGATGAGCACAACCAGGTTCCCTACCTGGCCGTGATCTCAGCTGGCACTGCGAATGCATCTTGGCCGTCGTCATGCAGAGGGTCCGTTACATAAAAATACTATGCCTCAAGACAAGCCTAAGCCAGGGCACCCCACGCTGTTATGCGTTGGCACCGGCATCCTTTCGAGAGAGTTCGTGGTGGTAGGGAAACGGGTTGAATGCGGGCATGCTCCACTTCAGAGAATCGGTGTTTACTACCTACTGCCGATTTTCAAGGGTTTTCAGCTCAGGTGTCCTTCACACGGCTCGAGGAGTGGTACGGCAAGGGAGTCGGGCTCTCAGCTTGTGCGGAAACCTTCTTCTTGCTTCACAGCAAGACAGGGCCGGTTACCTACATACACACATCCGTGCATGCATACATGCGTGCGTAGGTGCTTGGACGTGTTTCTGACGGGAATCCATGTTTACGTGTATCTCTCTCCACCTCTGTGCCATCTGAGGCGAGGCCAACGAAACGGAACAGGTCAGTCACATAGTAACCTTTGTAGTACCCGCTTATACTACGTACGCTTTGAGAAGAAAAATGGCCAATTGGTCGGTGACATATCCTGTGCGCGCTCTCCCGAGCTTCTGGCTATTCTGTTGTGTTGATTACCCAGTGGGCAAGAGATGGAGACGAGAGAGAGGCCGTTTTGCGTTTCGTCATGGTCCTGGAAAGCTTGGTTATTCTATATGAAAACCGGCTTTCCTGCAGTCACTGTAGTTGGACCCAGGTTTCCATCGTGGACGACGAGGGAAAGGAACTAGGAATGTCCAGAGCTGCTGGGCAGATGGGTGGCTAGGCTGCGTCGCAGGCGTCGCAGGTGCACATGCGCTTTGTGAGATCAGGGGTATGACAGTGAGATGTGGATGTGGGGAGCTTCATGCTTCCGCCTAAGGTGTCTTGCAGACCGTGCTGTCGCGATCTTGCTTCCTGCCGCATGGCTGAGCCAGAGCCAGTTCCCACAGTGAATTGAACCAGAGATGGAGATTCGTCAGTGTTGCAACCGAGGTATGTCTTAACATCTAAAACATGTCCAGTAGCCACTCCTGCAAGCATGGGTCATGAGAAGACCAAGAAGCCAGGCCTATTGCTCCCATGGTCATGCCCATCATCGGCATGAAAGCTATTGGAAGTGTCGCACCAGTGCTGACGGCGGGTGCCATGGGCGTTGTGACGGAGATATTGCTGCTCAGTTGCATGTGTTGCACGCGTGCATGGCAGCACTGACTGGTAAGCACAGACTGCGACCCATTCCGAGAACGAGCGTGTTCTCAGTGCACTTTCGAGGCTAATCACCGGCTGTATCTCTGGCATGCTGCCAGTTGCCCTGGCGCTCCTTCCGTAGCTTGGCTAGACGATGTACGGCGCAATCGTCGTAGTTCAAGTGAAGTCGTCGTAGTTCGGCTCTGTCTAGGCAGAAGATGGAGATTGCTGTCAGCAAGCTGGAGCCGGAATATCAGAATCTCAAGGTGGGATTCGCCTGGGAGTCGGTACGGGTCAGTATGTAGGCATTCTGCAGGACTCCAAAGGGCAGCCCATCACAAAAGTGGCGAGCTCAGTTGGCCAAGCAGCTGCTGCTTTTTCCTCCATGGCTTCACCCTAGTTGCAGAAGAATCCTGCGCGTGCCGCCTTGCCACTGCTCCATGTCAAGCCCAGGTTTTCGCGAACAAAGGCCTTTGAGAAGTGCCCCGCATGAACAGCCGTGGCGGCTATCCCTGAGCACGCTTGATTTTCCGATGAACCTTGGTCTTGGCATTGCAACCCCAGCCCGGCCCCAAACCCTACACCCACAAAAGCCACGAAAGCCCCCGAAACGCTAAGGAGCGTGGCGTTGAACGCTTTCACTGCGCTGAATCCAGACGCAGCCAATCCTGCATGACAGAATTCATGATTATCAAGGAACGCAAAACCCCGCTCTTCTTGTGTACGGTTATAGTATGGGATCGCACTTAGTCCAGATTCTAAATCCCAAGGCCCAAGCTTGGAGACCCCAGATCTGTTACACATGGCCGAGGAATGCTTGGACATTCCCATAACCCCGTTGAAGCCGAGTTTCTGCTTTTTCCAGGTGTAGAGGCTACAGAGGCCACAGGATATGTTCCGGCATGTTCCGGCTTAGCCGAGTCGCCTTTCTTCTGCAATCTGCTTCAGTTGCCATTGGGCACAGAAGAGCTTAAACAAGCCAAAGTGACTTCTATGTGGCGGGCGAGAAATGTCACGGAAAGCTTCGGGACTTGGTGCACAAAGCGAAGCATGACTTCTTCTGGCTGCAGCTCCTGGTCTTGTCAAGTGCGGCACTGCTGGCGCTACCCTCAAGTCGGCCTCAAGTTAGCCACCGAACCCTTCCATGGCAAGAGGACGCATGCCAGCAGCCACCTCAGAAAGTGAAGGCGACTTAGCGAGGCCGAGAAGCTTGAGGTTAGTGTACCAAGACGGAGCACTTAATGTAGTGTGCCGGTCGCATGCTCGGGTTCGTTCTCGATCCGCGGTTTTCTCTCAGGTGCTGCGCGTTTGCGCAGCAGTGCTGGCCGTGCCGGCGTTTCAAATCTGGGAGGTGCGACAAGCACGTGGACAGACAATTCGGCCTGCTGCTTCCAGTGCGCTGGCCTTGTGACGACCAGGTCCAAGCTCAAGAACAGCGCTGTTCGCAAGGAGTTTGCGCATCTACAGGTGCGGGCTTCTTGGCCAGTTTGATGCAGTCGTCGCTCCTGACTTTATGGCATGCAGCGGGGCATATGCGAGCTTGAATTTCCATCGCCACCTAGTCTGGGAGGCTTCTGGGAGGTCATGCAGCAAGATGCGCTCTTTCATTCGGCAGGTGCCGCTCGCGAAGATGCGTCGCTGCTGCAAGCGCATCCGGTGAGCGAGCTGACGCAGGACAGCTTATACGGCCGGTGTATTGCCACAGACATTTGCAAGTTTGTGAACCGAAACTCAGCAGGTGTGAGTTTGAGCAGCCAGGTGTGTGGCATGAAGCTTGCGGTTGAAGTGAGCACAATTGACTAGCGGACCGGCGATCACAGTGGCCTTGGCTGCAGGCACGCCGCGCGAAAGAAGCCGTGAAGCGGCGGCACAAACATCATTCGCAGATGCACAACAAGGCGAACCTTTTCCGGGCAATGCTGTCATGTGTGACAGTTGGCTTGGACAGATCTCTTTCCGGTCCTAGCAGAGCCGAAGCATATCCATCGAGCAACGACTGCGTGGCATCGTTGCATGCAGATTGTTGATGGTCGCGATTACCGTGCAGATGCGGCTGAATACTTCGAGCAACCTAGCCGAACTCGGTGTTGTTGCTTGCCTCTTTCCTCTTGAAATTGCGCCACTGAGGACGGTAAAGCACGATTCTCTTGAGGATCGATGCCCCAACATCCGTACCATGACGCTGGAAGAGGCATGCCAGCTGTTGTGATCGAGCGGTGGGTCAGATTTGGGAAATGTCTTCAGACATCCCAAAGTGACGAAGCTTGCAGCCAAGTCTGTGTCCAGACTGTAGACTGCCAAACGCATATGACATAAAACTTGTGCCGCCACTAGAATCCTAGAACTCGACAACCTAAAATGGTAGCATAGGCTGTTGCCGTGATGGGCCACTGTCAAGACAGGTTAGCCAGCGTTGGCATGAAGAGCTGGAGCAACTGAAGGAGGCCGGGACACACGACCAGGTGGTACCAGAGCAGAGATTCAAGCGGAGCTAGTTGCCTTGCGACGCGAGTTTCAAGCCTGAGGAAACTCCACGGGAGAAGTTCGACAAGAAGTTCAAGGCATGCGGTTGCTTGGACATTCTTGACATTCTCTCTTGAGCCAGGGCGTTGCTTAAAAAACATGGGAAGTGGCCCTGTGTTTCACCAAGACGGCAAGTCCTTGTTGCATGCTGCACCGCAGGACTTCCGGCATGCTTTTCCGGGACTTCTGCATGACAACAAGCCAGTTTTGGTCAAGGCGGCTCGCTACGTCCAACGTAGGCCAAAGCTTCAGCCGCTTCAGCCACTATGGCATCGGCACAATCATTTGGGCAGGGACATGTGCCCAAGCAGCTTGGTTGGAGAGCTGCCACTCACTGGGGCAAGGACTTCGGGTTGCAGTTGGGCAGAGCGACAGCCAGTAATCTTGCGCCGGTCCAGCAGCAGAGTAGGCATTTTTAAAATTGGCGGCTGAAGTATCGCAAACTCCAAGTCCGTTGACATGTGAGCATTGCTTTTTTAGGACGAGCTGGCCGACTATCTGGGCGACCTGCCCTGGCAGAGGCACTTGGAGACTTTCGTTTCTTGTCCTTGTCCCTGGATGTGTTTGCTGGAAGGCAGTCCTTCGATTATCCGGAAGCTTGTCTGCACATCACGCGAGACCAGAGTCTTCTTTCCCGGAGCTCCCTGGTATTCCCTGGTGCTCTTACTTGTGTCAAGGACTGGGTCTATTCCACACACAATTTGACGACATTCCGTGAATATGTGGGCCACGATGACAGAAACTTGGGCACGCAAGCAGCCTGCCGCAGGGGGATGTTCTCTTTGATGACTTGCTTGACGCGAAACTGTCAGAGGTGTTGCACTAATTCCCAGGTGCTAGAAACATTTTTCTTTTCGGGAGCGAAGATGGCTGTGACAAGCGGGGCGACATCAAGAAGACCATGGATAAAATCAGAGGCACCTTATCAGCTGTAGTAGTTGAGTGCAGTGGGGATAGTCTCAGTCTCAGATATGTCTGGGACATGCTGGATGTAGTCAAAGCGAAGGCTGCATGACAGAGTAGTTCGATACAGCGTTCTGGCACTGAAGGTCAGTTCATTCCAAGCCCGGACTTTGCATGGGGACCGGAAGTTTGCGAGGCCATCGTGGCCATTGACTCCATAGGCGGAGAAGAGTTTGGTGAGCTTCTGTGGATTGTAGCCTTGGACCTGAATCCATGCGGTTGACAGGAAGTTCTCACGGCTTCCACTGCCACGACCCGGTCTGGCAAGTGCAAGTCCAGGGTCCGAGCCATACTTGGCCGGTCGTCTTTGGCCAGCCACCTGCTGTCAGCCCCTCCTGTCTGGTGTTCAGGCTACAAGATGTGGTGGCTGCTTCCGCCACACTACAGAGGGAAGCTTGCCTGCAGTGGCGGTTCGACGATCGTATACAAGGTCTGTTCAATCATTAGATATAGTGCACTTGTCAGGACAGCGCCCGAATCTGACACGACAGATGACTCCATAGCATCTCAGCTGGCACTCACTACCCGACATCGAACTGTGCTGCGTACTCTTCTGGCAGATGTTTCAAACCAACAGGATTCCATGCCCGTTCGGCCCTCTCTTGCGTCACTGGAAGAATCGTCTTCTCACCTGGCAACTGACTGCCAGGGCTGGGGTGGTTCACCAGTACTCCCAGACGGCACTGTCTTTGCGCACCCGAACGGTTGTGCCATGCTCAAGCAGGCAGGGCAGCATGCAGCATGTCACTCTTCTGATTGAAATTGAAAAGATGCCTGGACTGGTAGCCAGCAGAGACACCACCTGTTTGTATTTAATGAGGTGGAGCCTCCGCCACTCGGCCAAACAGTTGAGTCTTGAGAACCATGCGGAGAAATACGATCAGAAGCGGCCACACATGCGGCGAGCTTGTGGAAACCTGGTAGTCTGGTAGTTCGGTAGTTCTACTTCTGGAAAATTGGCGCCGGAGTTCTCTAGCGAAAAGTCGTATTTGAGGGACCCATGCACTTGGTAACAAGCTCGGATTTTAGCAGCACCTAGTGTTGACTCAATGGAACTGAGAAAAACAATATGCATCTGAGACGGAAGCATGTGTATCCCGAGGCCAGGAACGAAGTCGTGCCTGGTGGGTCCTGGCGATGCACAGCCGCAACAGAGGAGCGAATCGAAGGAATTTTCCGTCCTTGGGTGGATGAAGCAGAGGGCAGTGATGACTCCGTGTGAACGGCTAAGGAAATGATGTTGCTGCCGGTTGGCTGGGTCCATTCTACATGTGGGCTGACGAATTACACAGCGGCGGCTGGGGGCTGGCTGGGTGTTTCTCAGCAGCACTGCTGACGTAACCAGTGACAACCTCCGAGCCTCCCGCAGGAGAATAAGTCATAGCCGTCATAGCCTGCCCCAGAGCAACCGAGTACTACCGATCGTGATGCGCCGGGCGGAAGAAGGCAAGCAGAAGGCGTGTCATGGAGCGTGTGAGCTTCTGCACAGTGGGACTTGGGTCGGATAAGCTCATGCTGGTGTTATCCAGAAGTCTGCAGTTGAAACACTGTTGGTTGTCATGGGGTGGCAGAGGGGCTCTTAGAAAAGTTTCCACGAAGTCATTCAGCTTGCTGATTGGGCCAGGTCCTTGGCACACGGCGCTTTTAAGAACTTTTTAAGGCAGCCCATCGACCAAAGATTCCTGGAAACCAGAATTGAGGTGTGGGTTGCTTTGTGAATTGCACGAGGCATTTCCTTGGGCGCAGCTTGACATGTTGTAAGGCTGAAGCCGAAGCGTCAGCTGCAAGCCTAGGGCCTAACTTTCCTGTTTACAGACCCGGACCGTCCGGGACGCGGACCACGGCCTCAGCAGAGAGAAAAGCACAGGGGCTTCGGACGCCGATTCTGAGACGGTTCAGATGCTGGCCGGACGCGGCTGCAGGTTAAGTGGTGCTGTTGATTTGCTGCTTCGGCTCCTGAGGGGGCAAGCAGCCAGCATGAGTGCACAAGTCTTTTGCTAGCAGCACAGACATCGAGTGCGCCTGAGCAAAGCTCAGGTGATACATGCCCCCAGCACTACCAGGCCTTGCGGCCTGAGCGGTTCTGCGCTTGCGTTCGTCACACGTCACATCAAAACCGTTCTGCTTGCAGGTGCTAGAGAGACCTGGGACTGCGATTTGCTTGGAACGCGAAGCTCGCTTTTTGTACGGCCATGAGGCGTCGCGGTGAGAGCTTGCAGGTGTAGTTAAGCGCAGTATGCGTAGCAACTGCAAGCTTAGAATCATAGAATTTCATGCTGCGTGCTCCTTTGAGATCTTGGCAGGTGCCGAAGGTTTCACAGACGCGCGTGTCCATGACGTGGCGCTGGCTGCATCCGAGGCCCGATGCACAGCCAAAGTGCCTTGTGTTCCACCAGCACGAGTCAACGTACCAGGTTTCAGCAAGAAGTCGACGAAGTGAGGCACTGGCTAGGGCATTGTGAAGCGTCGGGCATCGCCGGGCCGAACAGAAGGGTGACCAGCAAGCTCTTGCATTCTATGCTTTCGGTGAGCGTTTAAGCCAACCCTTTCGGGTAAAGCCCCCGCATCTGGTCTGAGGCAGAAAGGTTCGAGGTCCGGCCTGCAGGCGGCTTCAGGACTAGAGTGAACAGGCTCAAACAGTATGAGGCCGGTACACGTGCATTCACGTGCATCATGCGAAAGTGTTAGTGAAGTCTTGGCCCCCCTGTGCACCAGCTTGAGCCTTCAAAACTACACAGCCGGGCCCCTTAATGACTTAGCGTGGATAATCGAGGCCTTGATGAAGTGCATTTGTTCGTGTTGGCATGCTTGCGAGTGCGCTCCATCATGTGCAGAAGCGCGAGACGACAAAGCCTAGACAGGCTCGGGCGCTTTTAATCTAACAAGGATCATTAGTAGTCTTTAGCAGCTGCTTCCAGATGGGGTTTGCCATGTGCACACAGCTACCTGGCTGAACTGCCGCTGTATTGCGATATGACTGATTGTTGCAGTCCGTCTCCCTGTGCTCAGGCAGCCTTGAGGCGGCTTAAATTTGTGGGCTGCCGTGGCTAAACAGGTCTAGGGAGGGCGAGGCTTCAGGCCAGGTATCACGCGAAAAGGGCTCCTCGGATGTTCACGATGGATCCGGAAGAACCGCCAATGATCTCAAGTCCATCTCGTGCAAGCTTGGCATTTCTGCAGAGCGCACGAAACAAGAAGAGAGAACTCGGTGCGAGTGCAGGACAGGAGCTGAGAGAAAGAATGAGAGGACTGGCACCCTACTCGTACATCTTTCGCTTGTTAAGCCTTGGTGAACCCCCTTAAGTTAGGCAGGGCGAAAGCACTGGAGAAAGGTCCCCGCTGCCGCTGCCTTCAATCGACCGCATGATGTCAAGTTAAGGCTCTGCGGGCAAGAGGCGGTCCCATCCAACGTAGCACAGCTGGCTCGCTTGGTATGGCAGTGTGGAAGATATTTGCATTGGCCGATTAGACGTGACAAAGTGGAGGTCGCTCGAGGCTCAGCATATTGGTGCCGAGATCGCAGCTGCCGCATCATCACTCATCGCACACTGCAGCTGTTGCTCATGAGCCTCACATCTGCAGAGCATGCAGAGCCCTCCAGCTTACCCAAGCTGTCGCAACACAGTAATAACCGATAAGTCTGAGCAGAACTGTAGTGCTCCGACAGACTGCGTATCTCGCCTGCTTGCGGCATGAAATCGAATTCCTGCCGACACCTAATTTAGCATTGAGAAAGAGGATAATTATTGACTCCGTAGCTGCAGCAATGGCGCCGCTTGGTTTTGCTGCTTCCATGGCCGCGGATCATGGCACCAGCTTCTTTATGTCTTTCAAGCTGCTAGGCTTAACCGACGCAGATGCCCCGCATGAATTCGCTTGCAATTCAAGATGTGTGCGAGCTCCTTCTCTCTACATATACTGTACACATAGAGAGCCTGAGAGAAGAAGAAGAAGATTTACAAACAAAGAAGCACGACACAACATAGAGAAGTAGGTAGACAAGGCAGGTACACCTACCTGTCTGTTTGTCTATCTATTGATCTTATCCTGCCCCATCCTGTCCCATCCCATCTCATCTCCTCACATCCCATCCATGAATCTATCGATCTATCTGTCTACCTATCTACCTATGTGTCTATCTGTCTATCTGCCTGCCTTATCTAGCTATCTATCTATCTGTCTATCTATCTGCCTCTCCATCTATGCCAGGCTATATCTATCTATCTGTCAATCTCCCTGTCAGCCAAGCTATCTATCTATCTCTATGTCTATCTCAAGTTAGCCAACTACGTACCTATGCAAACAAACACGACATACAGAGTAAATGACTACTGTATCGCATCGCCACAGGCATTTAGGCTGATGAGGCCACCCATGCGCATGAGTCTGGTCGGATGCAGGAAGCAAAGGGACCAGATCCATGCCGAGTTGATTAAGGACATGCTTTTTTGTCTTTGCTCCAGGAGTGTCCGCTCTCCCGGTCATGTTGGTTGACGGATGCCAGGACGGCATTGAGAGCCCACCGCCCATCCCCGTGAACGACGGAGACCCTTCTGCGACTGGGCGGGAACACAGTTCACACGATCCATAGAGCTCCTTGATCCCCAACAGGAAGCGTTGGCGGATCTGCTGCACAGTCGCGCCAGCTCGATTAGTCTGTGCCGAGGAAGCAAACGAAGACTTATTCGACAAGCCGCTTTGCAGTAATTCGGAGATATTCGGAGCCCCGTGCCGGACATGCAGTGCAGATCAGTGCAGAAGCATTTTCGCACAGGGCGACTTTCAAGCGTCTCCTGCCTGAGGCTTGCTGGAGCTGAAGGCCGGGCTCGAAGGTTCAAGAGGGTCCGGGCCAGGTCAAAGCCCTTCGGAGTTTGAGGGGGCAGGTCGGATCTATCGTTGCCCGCATGTAACATGTGTAGCAGTGCCGGCGGATTCGTCTCTGCCAGGTCTAAAAGGACAAACAGAGAACCATGAATCCTGCTTGTGCCTGCCGGGAACGCTCCACAATCCGGATTCTTGCTCGAATCAGATCACGGTGCTTGCCTTCAGTGCTTCGCCATCGCGGCCCAGACACGCTCTCACCTCTTGGAATCTTAAACCCCTCCAAGCTGGGTCGACAAGGAAAGCCAGAAGGCAATGTCCGCCGAGGCGGAGGAGAGCGAGAAAGGACGGAAGCATGTACCTCGAGGGGTTGCTTCGATTCGGGTGCAAGTCGTATCATTGATAACCAGGACTCCTCACGTTTCTGGGCACGAAGTGGCACAGAGAGAACTCGCGTGTCAACTCGCACATGAACCCACTCTTTGAGACGTATGAAAAAGAAAAGATGAAGCTGGACAAGCGCCTTGGCATGCAGAAAGACAGTATAGCAATAATTTGTTATTATCGTTTGAGTTTGCCTCTTGCCAGCACGGCCTTGCAGGTCTAAGCGAATTTACATGCCGAATTGTACCCGCAGACACGAGCCAAGGCTGTTGGATGATCTCCACGCGAAGGTGAGCGTCCAGGGTCGTTTTTGTGATGGTAACTGGTAACCAAGACATCATGTGCCTTGCTTGCGCCATCCCTGCGGGCCTGTGTCAGCAGCTTGTGGTCACGACAGCTTTTACCAGGCATCTGTCGCAGAGTCTGCTGCCACGACGCTGAAGGAGTCGTTTCACAAGGCAACGCCGAGAGTCAATGTCCACTCGATGCGAACACATCGGAACAGTGTCGGAAAGTTGCTCCCGAACATCTGAAACGTCCTCGAGCTCTCGATCGCAACCGAGTCGTCCTACGGTCTTCACGCAAGTGTACGGTCGATATCTTGTTCGTTGCGATACTCTTCACTGCGGGCTCCGAAACGGCAGTATGTTCTCTTGACGGCTGCAAGACCTCGTGATAGACCAGCGGTTCGGCGTCAGCTTTCTTCAGAGTGGTGTCTCCTGACGGTGGTCGTATAGCCCCAGTTGTGCTTTAGCGCGGCTGTTGTTAACTACATGGGCGTGCGCCTAACGGTGCTCGACACATGCACACGGTCGAGAGACCGCAATTGCCAAGTTGAGCATCTGCAGGTCCAAGTTGCGCATGAGGAAGGAAATTGCCAACGAGCGACGGCAGCCGCAGAGGTCGGATTAGCAATGCAAGAGTTGGGTCAGAAGTCGCGGACTGTCCCGTTGAGCAGGCCAACTTCCAAGAGGTGCCGCTCTGCAAGTCAGACCTCGATCAGGCTCGGCTCGATTGCCAGAAGTCTTGAACTTTGCGCTCGCAGCTGAATGATCCTTCTGAGAGGCATCTGAGGACATGTCTGTCGAATGCTCAGCTCTCGCTGCAATCACTGGCAATCACCAGCATCCCCGAGCAAAGTGTGCCCAGCAGCGATCGAAGCTTTCCGTGCTTGTAGATACTCGTTGCCGGAGTTGGCAGTCGCCACCAAAATCCAATGCCAT